CAAAAGAAACTTTAAACTAGCCGCTATCAGTCAAAAGAAATCCGAGCTGATTCGACTGATCATTAGTGAAGATATTAAAATTTCTTTTTGTTCAATTATTTCTGAGACACCCTGTATGGGCGACTATGGAAACATTCGAAGGTTCGGTGAAGTTCAAATTCGAGTTCAGGTATTTCCGAACATTGTTAACTGTTTTCAAGATGCCTGCAGAGCTTTAGATTTTGGATCATTTATTTTATGGTCTGTAAACATACTATAGCCGACGCATGCACGCAGCCAGAAATCTGTGAGAGAGATCGGAATAGAAAAAAAGTACTTCTCGGCTTGCGACAACTAGTCAACCCGCATCCCCCCTAGATATTAAATCTTCGCGTGGGGGATTGATTTATCCAATCATTTCCTGGCTGTGTCCCTAAACCAACTATGAAATCCTTTCTTTTGGCATACTTCTAATATCTTTTATTGATTCTAAACCCTGAACAAGCGTAACGAGAAAATGCTGCTAGAAACTACCGATGGATGGCAGCTCTTTGTCACCAATCTCGATGTCGAAGCATCGGGTCATCTTTTTGGGGAATATGCCATCTAGCAAGATGTTGCTCAAAGTACAGTATCAATAAATAAAGCTACTTACGTATTTCTTAGCTGATGTGATGTGCCAGAGGTCAAAGAAAGACAAATGACTGTTTTTATTGCGACTTGTGCCTTTTATACCGTTATAGAAAAATACAAAGAAATTTTTTTTTCTTTTAATGGAACTTTCGAGCCGTGGAGAAAAAAACTGTATTCAACAGCAAGAATGTTTGTACAGAAGCTTGACAAACACTGTTGACTATGCGATTTCAAATTTTCACGATTGAAATTGCCGTCTACTTCACTTTTTTAAATTAGTCCATTTTCGCCGAAGCTGAATTTAGCCGAAAGTTAATTTTCATCGAAGAAATTTCACTAATTTAATGGTCGCCAATTGAATTCATGACAGAAAACGGATCTGAGTTGAATATGATTGGTGAGGGTGAGACAAGCTCCCATGACGTATATTTCGACCTTGCTCAAGGATCTTATCGAATGGCTTATTGTTCTGAATTAAGGGTGTGGGTGTGGGTGTGTGGGTGTGGGTGTGGGTGTGGGTGTGGGTGTGGGTGTGGGTGGGCGTGGGTGTGGAAGTGGGTGTGCGTGTGGGTGTGGAAGTGGGTGTGGAAGTGGGTGTGGAAGTGGGTGTAGGGTGTGGTATGGGTGTTTGTCTTCTCTTCACCTGCACTCCCACCGACACCCACACACCACTCCCACCGACACCCACACACCACTCCCACCGACACCCACACACCACTCCCACCGACACCCCACACCCACCCATACCCACATCCAGCCTGTGATAGGTCCAAAGCCCTATCTGTCACGGTCTGTGGGGGAGGGGAGGCGAGGTGGGTCTAAATTTCTACTCCTAAACACTTCAACACGCCTGTCAGATCGTGTTTCACAAAAAATATACATAGTGATGAACCGTTAATGTTTCTAAAAGATTAGATTATATTATAATCGATTAAAGAGTGTTTACATGGTGCGAAGAAATAAAACAACAAGAAGCAGCCCAAACAATAGGGCCCTTTCACGGTGAACAGGGGCACTACATGTAGCTGTTGGATTGATTTCCGATTTATACGAGCCCAAAATCATTGACGCCGGATTGGTGAATTGACCACTTGTGACCGAGTTGATCCAAGACTGAAAAGCGGCTATACGTGTGTAACTGCCAGCATAAGCCTCTCGAGCGCAACCAATACCACTACTTGTTGCACCGACCAAAACCCACTGATTACTCCAAGTGAAAGCCATTAGAGGACCACCAGAATCACCTTGACACGTATCTGCAAAAAACGAAAAGAAATTAATTTCATGGTGGGTGAATGCAAAATATTAGTTAGCATATCTTTGCATTTTGAAGCAGCACACAATTGAACCCATCAATTTTTCATGGTGCGAGCACATGTTGATGATTGCCATGCAACAGTTTCTAAGGTTACTTGTTGAAGGGTCGATGATGTGACACCATTTTCTCTTAATGTTCCCCATCCCAAAGCGACTACCTAGATTTCCGTACAATATCATTTCGAAAAAGTCTTGAGCACTTACGATTGTTATAGCTAGAGGCCATTCACCAGCTGATAGCGTTGAAGAACCGACAGATGGAAGACAAATGGCACTAACAGCCGGGTCATTCATGTTCAGCGCACTTGCCAGATAAAGAAGCGCAATGTCATTTACATAGGTGAACCGATTATAACTAGGATGAGCGGTGATACTTGAAACTAACAATGTCTGACTACCGACCAGTTTATAATTGGAACCAGCATAAACAGTAATTTGACTAGCACTAGCAGTCCAGACACAATGCGCAGCTGTAAGGATCCATCTTGCTGAAATGATTGATCCTCCACATAAGGCGGTTCCTATGCGCAACGATACAGCCCAACCCCAAGTTTGAGAACTTGCTGCTTCCCCTCCAACAATACGAGTCAAGGTAGCTGAATTCGTTGAACAGCCACATGACGAGCTTGAACTGCATCTATATGTGGTCGAAGAACTCAATTGCATAACTATGAAAACCAGAATTAAAGTAAGAATTCGCTTCATTCCTATTACGTATTCTTGTCGAGCCTACAGGCTAAATGAGACTCAAAAAACGAAATGCATTCATTTTTTCTTTACCCTTCTATGTAATTTAGGTTTCTTTATTCAATTAGTCATTGTTGAAAAGAAAGTAAGATTTTTCTTGCAAATTGTGTATGATTTTCGATGCAGTCAACAAACTTGTTTTAATGTTGTTTAGAGACTTGCTCCAATCGATGCAAAGAAAAACATCAGGAAGACAAAGAGAGTATTGCGCACTGTTGTTACTTGGTTTCGCATAGAGCAACAAATGTCTTTACTAAAGACGCAAAATTAAATTGCGCCCACCACTTTTGTTAAAAGAATTACGAAATACAACACTCTAAAAAAAAATCGGTTTTTTACCGAACCCCCAAAAAAGGTTCCGGAGATGTCTAAAAGCGTCCAAAGATGTCCAAAGTCTCAAAAAAAGGATAAAAAAATCTACGAAACCTTTAAAGGTTCTTACCGTGTACCCAGGATAAGAACCTTTTGCTGCGAAACCTTTTTTTAAGTTCCGTACAGAAGAAAAAGGTTTCGTAGGAAAATACGAAACCTTTAGAGTTTCATATTAAACCCTAATAGTTTCGTACTAAATCCTTATGATTTCGTAGAATTTAATACGAAACTCTAAAGGTTTCGTATTTTCCTACGAAACCTTTTTCTGCTGTACGGAACTTAAAAAAAGGTTTCGCAGCAAAAGGTTCTTATCCTGGGTACACGGTAAGAACCTTTAAAGGTTTCGTAGATTTTTTTATCCTTTTTTTGAGACTTTGGACATCTTTGGACGCTTTTAGACATCTCCGGAACCTTTTTTGGGGGTTCGGTAAAAAATCGATTTTTTTTAGAGTGAAGGGTGTGGAATGTGGATGTAGATGTGTGTCGGTGTGGGTGTAGGTATGGGTGGATGTGGGTGTGGATGTGGATGGGTGTGGGTATGGGTGTGAGTGTGGGTGTGGTTTTCATGAGATGAATATCTACACCCACACCCACACCCACATCCACACCGACATCCACACCCACACCCACACCCACGCACAACCACACCCACACCCACACCCACACCCACACCCACACCCACACCCACACACCACCCACACCCACATCCAAAAAAAAGGTGTGTTCAAAAAGTTTTCGAAAGCATGTATTGTTTTCATGTTCTTTTTCCTTGTCACTACAGAGTCCAATTCATTTTTGTCTTTCTTTCACCGTTTAGATACTATACCACTAATTGTTGATCAACATTTAAATGACCATCAGGACGTTCAAAACTTTACTGGTAATAATTTACATCTCAATTATTAATACATTTATTTTCCAGGTACTCCAGCAAATGTGAATGAAGCTCTTGGTGATATATCTGAACGTGATGATGATGATATGATCTCAACGAAAACAAAACCGACTAAAAAAAAACAAAAAAAAGCTGTATGAATTTCGAATTTATTGAATTTTGTTCCTTTAAGGTTTTTTTGTGTATTGTAGTCGCGATCAAAATCAAATGAATCTACTGCTGTTGAAATTTCTAATATTCAGAAAGAATTTTCGTTATTCAAATACAATGTTGACAAACGACTTAAGTCACTTGAAAAAACATATCGAATTTTGAAAAACAGAAATATTTTGAAAGAAGTGAGTCAGATTTGTTTTTAATAATTTAAGCATATATATTTAAATTTAGAGAAATGATCTGATAAACATTAACGATTTGATGCCTCAACCAACACAATCAGATCCAGAAGTAAGAAGAAGACTAATTAATCAACAATCGTCATTAATTTTTTTTAGTTTGCTCTTGGTGTTGATGTTAGCAAATTTAATTGTGCTTTTGATGAACATACAAAATTCGTACGACAAGTCTTTCGTCAAGCTAGATATGCATCAAATCCGAATTTTGTTTTACAAAACGAAGATATGGTTCTGAGTATCCAAAGTATGCATCGAGGATCTATGAATAATATGTTAATGAATGTTTATCTTTTATAGATGCAATGAAAAAGCGTGATCAACGATTACAACAAGATGAAGAATATTTTAAACATGTGTGGCAACTTGTAAAAGAATCAGTTAAGCAGCTCAAGCACGATCACAAACGAAATCTTACATTTCAAACATTACGTGCACAAATCGGTAATATGAATCCATCTCAATCTCAAGCTGCCGATATTCAATCATGTGAAAATAGTATTTCAAATAATTAATTATGGACTATATCCTATTCATTTATTTTTATTTAACTATATGTTCAAAATTATTGATTTTTTAATAAAAATTTACAGTAAAACACATTTCATATTACTAATCATGCTGAGGATATTGTTTTATGATTTTCGTGCGTCCAGCGCATGATATATATTGAATTTATACATAACTCATGCAAGCGTCCAAGTGCTTGTCTATGGAAAGAAAGTCATGCGCTATGGACACATCTTGAGGTCTGTGCAGGTCAAGAATGGAAAAAAAAGTTCGTCTATGGTAAGCATTTAATGTCTCCGTTATGGTGGAAGTCTGCGTCAGAGCTATAAATGTATAGTAAACGAACTCTTCATCTCAAATGAAAGTCGCAAAGTATACAACACTGCAGTACTACTATCGGTAACTTGAACATTTATCCTTCTTCTAGTAAACGGTAGCTCGAATATGTTCATCTACTAGTGAAATATTATGTGAGACTTAAGTCAAATGTGAGGATGTCGTTCTACCTTTACTTTACTTTATTCCCTCGACTGAAGGAAGGATGACACGAAAAAAATTAAAAAGAGTTTGTCTGTGTTCTTGTCGTCGGATCAAAGGTCGAAGGTCAAAAAATGTCAGAGGTGAAGTTTATTCAGGGGTAACTTCTGAAGTTTCACGAAAGGTAATTGAGGTCGGGAAATCCGATTCCGAGATCGGATTTTTCATCCGGCTTTCCCATTGACTAGAAAGTCGACCAATCGGAAATGAGTTTTTTTATTTTAAGGTTTTTCTACCTTTTGATGAAATTTTATGTTAGGCTATCGAGGGCCAGGATTCAGAATCTGACATCGGATTTTGTACCCAGCCTTCCCATTGGCTAGGAAGGCGACCAATCAGAAATGATCTTTTTTATTTTAAGGTTTTTCTACCTTCTGATGAAACTTTACTGTAGGTTATCGTGAGTCAAGATTCAGAATCTGAGATCGATTTTTGCACCCGACGTTTCCATTGGCTGAAAAGTTAACCAATCAGAAACGAGCTTTTTTTCATTGCTTTTTGTACATTTTGATAAAACTTCACTATAGATTATCGACAACCGGGATTCTAAATCTGTGATGGAATTTTGTATCTGCCCTTTCCATTGACTAGACAGCCGACCAATTAGAAGTCAAACTTTTTATTTTAATGCTTATTCGATCGTTTGATAAAAGTTTAGAATAGATTATCGCTATCCTGGAATGTGAATATCAAGTCGGTTTTTCGATTTGAGCTTTCATTAGTCAGAAATGGACCAATCAAAAAATGAGCTTTTTTACTCTTGACTCAAGGGATGGTCATATGAAATAAAATGAGTTTTTGGTCTATCAGTTATTGGGAGAGTAACACATTCAAATGTGTTAGCATGATTACAGGTTGAAAAATCGGAGTAACATCAAATATGTATGAAGTTTTTGTCTGGCCGCCAATTCAGCCAATAAAATATTTTCAGTGTTTGTCTATGAATCTGTCAAGCTTTATTCAACTAGCAGCAATTTTATCTGTTTCCGTTTCTTTCTCTACTAGCTGGTGTGTTTAGGATGCGTTGATGTGTAATTGGAACATTTACTCTGATACTAATGTGCAATCAGTGATTTTTTTAGATGATGTGCGCTTGACCTTAGCTGATGAGTTGCATCAGATCAACTTTATTGTAAGTTGTCCTATCTAGATGTGGTTCTTGAAGTAGATATGTGCCAGAGAAAAATATTAAAATTGCATTTACGCCAAACGCATTTAGGGTCCCACCAACATTCTCATCCACGCGGACAATACTTCTGAAACTCAAAGTTTAGTTGTGATCGATCCGACAATATCAGTATTCAAGTCTACTCTCATGAATTTTTTTCTGGCGAAGTATTCACCTACTTGCATATTTTTTCAGGAGTTCTGACTCGTATAACTTTTATAGTCCCCATAACTCGAAGAAGGTAATATAAAAAAATATTCGTAGATGAGGGTGATTGAACTTGTGGGCCTTTTTTCCTCGAGAAGCATAAGAGTAAAAAAAAGAGCCCTCATAGGCACTGCATTCGGACATGTTCTTTCAAACAAAAAAAAAGAACAATCAAGCATATTGAATGAATATCCACAGAGAATTTTCGGAAACGCGATAAGCTATTCTTCGATCATTGTTTGGTTCTTATCTCACTTCTGCATCAGAATAGGTGTCTGAAAATTTTACCGTAGACGTTCTTTTACAGCTCCAACATATTCTCAAAGTTTCATGACATTTGGATGTTCCTGGAATAAGATCGATTTTTGAGGGAGGGGCCACTTAAGTGTACTGATGTAAACGGAGCGACGAGCCGTGAATGGCGTCTCCAAGGGACGGCGACGAACGATTAGTCGCTCATATTGCA